CCTTGGCTAGTCCATGGCTAGTCATTGGCTGGTCCCTGGCTAGTCCTTGGCTAGTCATTGGCTGGTCCCTGGCTAGTCCTTGGCTAGTCATTGGCTGGTCCCTGGCTAGTCCTTGGCTAGTCCTTGGCTGGTTCTTTGTACTAAAATATTTTTTCTGTCATGATGTGTGGACATTAAGATCTAAAGAGAAGCGCCATCTTCTGGTCAGACCCTGTAATTCAGTGAAAAGGTGGAGTTAGAGTAAAAAAATATGCTTGCCCAGGAAAAGGCAAGTTGCTGGAAATTGGAGGGGATTTGGGTGACATTCTGCTGGGTTTTTTGACTGGAAGGGCCATTTTGAGCGGCTGCTACTGTAATTATAGTCTGACACAAATCTGTGCATCAGTTGCCAGAATGATGGCTGGTTATAAATGAGTAGCGCTGCTGTTGACGCGTCCAGTCTGCAGTTTACCACAAACATGGAAGGCAAAAATAAAACGGCTCTGCTCATATGAGAAGTTTTTCATTTCAGCCTGAACATAAAAAATTATTTGTAACTCCTTTCCTTTTGTTTCTCTCTCACCTGAAATCCATAAAAGCCACATTTTTGCGGCTGTAAAATGAGATAAAGCGAAGAAGATGAAGGTGTTTGAAGGCTTCTGTCGTTTCTTCTTTGCAGCAGCTCAGCGTGACAGAAGTGAAGGTCGACAAGGTGCAGGTCAGCGGAGTTGGAAACACAACGTTTGCCGTTTGTTTGGACCAGGATGAGAAAAAAATACTCCAAAGCGTTACCAGGTACGGCATCGGATGCTATATGGACAGAAAAGTCAATAAACTGATTTTTAAAGAGAAACGATAGTTTTAAAAAAAAAAAATAATGAATCCACTGGACTTTGTTTCCAAGTTTGAGACGTTTTCCTTCACATCGCTTTTTCAATTCAAAATGTCAGAAATAGAGTTGAGTTAGAGGCTAAATACACGGACCAAAAAGGCCTTGATTTTTTTTTTTTTAGTAAACAAACAAATTGAAACTGATGAACAGATCCAACCTTTTGGAATGGGGGTTCGTCCATTTCCTATTGGTCTGTCTATATAGCCTCGAACCCAACCCTATTTCTGACATTTGAATTCAAAAAGCGATGAGAAGAGAAATGTCTTCAAACTTGGAAACAAAGTCCAGTGGATTGTTTTTTAAAGTCGTAGGGAAATCATATCTAAATGTCAAATCATTCTTGCTTAATATATAAATTTACTCTTTCTCAGAAAATATTGTCCAAAAAGTTGTTTCTATTTAAAAAAAAAAATCTGTCTTAAAATCTGTCTTTAAAGTTTTTTTTTTCATTATCTTCTGCAGGCCAGTTAGTTCTCCGTCAGCCTGAACACCTAAATTCGGGCAATCATATA